TTCTTGGTCGGCGCTGGACATCGGTGACAGCTGCTGATCGCCGCAAAGCGATACTCCAAACTAAGCTCGACGCGAATCTCGTAGACGACGTGTCATGCGCTAGCGTGATCGATAATTCGGGTGGCCCAGTTGTGTGCGACGGGAGTGTAGAGCAGCTCGGCCATTACGGGCCGTAGGGGTAGGTAACGTCGTGCAGACGTGTTGGAAAACGTGTTGTATACGTGTTGTTGTAACGTGTTGTTGTATATATCGGGGGCGTGCTCGTGCTCGTCAAACCATCACGGTATCGAGTCACGCCTTCACGCTTTCTCACACAACGAATCTCTCTGAATCCGCACCAAAAGCCTCTCACAACCAAGGAAAACATGTAGAAAGTTCCTGTTCCTCCGCATCTCATCACTGCAATATTCGTACGTACGTACTTAACATCTCAACCATCATACTATGCTACGAGTATCGAATAGATGCAGGCAGTGAAGGCCAATCCCTCTTTGTGCCATCTTCGCCCGCGAGTGATTCCCCTAGTAGCGCAGCTCCCTCTTCGTCTTCTCCAGCAGACGAGTTCACCGATGAGGGAGAGCAGGGAGGGCTGGAGACAGGGGAGGCAGAATCGGCGGGTCCGGGAGGGCAGGAGGTGGAGTCGGAGAGTCAGGAAGGGTTGGATGAAGAGTTCGTGGAGCCGGGAGGGCAGGAGGTAGAATCGGAGACACTTCCCCCTGCTACGCACGTACCATCTAATCATCGTGCGCGGCATGAGCTTGCTAGTTCCAACACTGCTGCGAATTAGAAGGAAGTTAGAAGTGCCAGACCCGTGCGCAAACTCGGGCCGTAAACCAGCAGAGCGTATCCGGTCTCATGGCCACTCTAGGACCTATATCCGCATCTGAAATTGTAGAAGCACTCACTCTTAGTGGAGCAGAGAGCGTCTGATAAATTACTATGGAACTGCCGAGAGAGCTCATTCAGGATGTAGACAGAACCTGGTAGCTACCGGGAAGCCCGCCAGTCAAAGCATGCCGTGATTTGGGACAAAGACATGTCTGCAGAGTTTGAAGGCTTGTTCAGAGCAGGAACGTTCGCGTTAGCAGTAAAGGCCCCGATAGGCTACAACGTGATAGATGCTAGATGGGTCTATAAATGGAAAGCAGACGAAACAGGCAAGATAGTGAAGGCCAAGGTTAGGCTTGGAGCGAAGGGCTTCAAGCAGAAGCATGGTGTGGATTATCGTGAGACTTTCTCGCCTACTGCAATTGCTGCATCGATTCGTTTGCTGGTAGCATTGGCGTGCAAGTACAACTTGGAATTTCTCCACTTTGACATTGAGCAAGCGTTTGTTCAGTCGGAATTGGATCAGGAGGTGTTCATGAAGTTGCCTCCTGGCTGCGAGTCGATGTCAGGAAAGGTCGTCCGTTTCGACAAGAGTTTATTTATATGGACCGAGGCAGGCATCTAGAACATTTCACAAGAGACTAGTGTCGGACCTGAAGACAACTGGTTTTGAGCAGTCTCTGTCTGACCCGTGTGTTCTCCTTTTCATAATGGGGGACGAGGTGATGGGTATGGTCGCGACTAATGTGGATGACATTCTGTATGCAGGAATTGAGAGGCTCGCCGAGATGGTTGTGGAAGCGCTAGGTGACTCTCTTTCCACGAAGAATTTGGGCGAGGTCACGTTCTTTCTTGGTTGCTCAATTAGTCGCGACCGCGAGGCTGGCACGATTGAGATTACTCAAGAGAGTTANCATTGGCGTGCAAGTACAACTTGGAATTTCTCCACTTTGACATTGAGCAAGCGTTTGTTCAGTCGGAATTGGATCAGGAGGTGTTCATGAAGTTGCCTCCTGGCTGCGAGTCGATGTCAGGAAAGGTCGTCCGTTTCGACAAGAGTTTATTTATATGGACCGAGGCAGGCATCTAGAACATTTCACAAGAGACTAGTGTCGGACCTGAAGACAACTGGTTTTGAGCAGTCTCTGTCTGACCCGTGTGTTCTCCTTTTCATAATGGGGGACGAGGTGATGGGTATGGTCGCGACTAATGTGGATGACATTCTGTATGCAGGAATTGAGAGGCTCGCCGAGATGGTTGTGGAAGCGCTAGGTGACTCTCTTTCCACGAAGAATTTGGGCGAGGTCACGTTCTTTCTTGGTTGCTCAATTAGTCGCGACCGCGAGGCTGGCACGATTGAGATTACTCAAGAGAGTTACTTAAGGAGTGCTCTCGAGAGATTCAATATTTTTTGCACCAGCTCGATCACCGCCCTGCTAACGCTTACGGGTCCGTGATGGAGGATGAGGAGGCAGGGGATGTGCCGTTCCGAGAGGTGGTGGGGAGCCTGATTTGGATCGCCAACAAGACGAGGCCCGACATCTCAAATGCTGTGCGGGCAGTGGCGAGGCACTCTCATGAGCCAAAGAAAATCCACTGGAAGGCGGCCCAGAAGATTCTGAATTATCTTCTGGAGACGGCACATCAAACATTGAAGTACAAGCAGGATGATACGGTATAAAAAGGCACGTTGGTGTACGTAGATGCTGACTTCGCTAGCAAGGCCACTGACCGTAGAGCAGTTTAGGGAGCATTAGCTCTTGTAGCTGAGTGTCTTGTTGCTTGAATTTCTAGGACGCAGCAATGTGTTTCATTGTCGACATCTGAAGCAGAGTATATTATGATGGGCGATGGTGTGATGGAAGCTCTGTTTGTGAACGGAATGCTAGAGTTTTTAAGGCCTTGTGAGAAACTTGGTAAGATTCAGGTACTTGAGGACAACGAGGGTGCGATTGCGCTTGCTGAGAAGCTCGTGTAACAGTAAGCACAAGGACGTGAGGTACCGTTTTCTTAGGAATTTGACAGAGGAGGGAGTGTTGGCAGTCAGTCACGTTTCTAGGGAAGAACAGCATGCAGACATCCTGACCAAGGCTTTGCCGAGAAACTTTTTTGAGGTTTATCGTGATTTTGTTCTGGGCTCGAGACCTAACAAGTGAGACAGTTAGAGGTCTGAGTTGCGTTTTGGTTTTTGATTTTTTTTTAATTTATATTTGGTTTGGTCATGGCAACAGCCCCAAGGGAGGGTGTTCGTGATAGTTGCTGATGTGTGTGTCGACAGAGTCACGTAGAACAACTTGATTGGGCAGTTTGAATTGGGGGACTGTCGGTGTTGCAGATCGCTGAGTAGCCACATATTATCAGAACAGCGAGGAACGTTCTGTAGGAATGTTCCACGTGGATGGTGCATTGCCGCGAGTGTTTTCATTGTGGATAGTGCATAAGCCAGAGGATTTATGGTACGTTGCGAAGTACGTTAGCCACTGCTGAGTCTTCGTGTTCCGATATTATTGTGTTCCGGTATTGTGTTCTGCTTTTTTGCGTTGGCCGAGCGACATGGGTGGTGTTGCGGTGCTGCGGTGCTGCGGTGCTGCGGTGCTGGCCCCACCCTCGCTCACTCCACGTTTTGACCTGTTCTCCTGGTCCAAGATCTCATCAATACAACATCTTTTCCCCAGAAGCCATGAGTTTACCAACACTGTGTACCCCCTTTTTTTCAGCCGACACGCTGAACACTGTTTTACCCCTGTGCGTGAGTTTTCATCGGCCACGGGTAGCGCCTGTGCTGCATCCCCTCATTTGGTACGCCTGGTCCCGGGTACCCCTTCGCGTCAGCCGACACGCTAGATACTGTTTTACCTCTGCGCGTGAGTTTTCATCGGCTGCCGGAAGCGCCTGTGCTGCATCCCCTCATCTGATACACCTAGTCCTGTGTACCCCTTTTGTTTAAGCGACATGCTAGATATTGGTTTATCTCTGTGCATGAATTTCCATCAGTTGTGGGGAGCGCCAATGCTGCATCCCCTCCTTTGATACGCCTGGTCCCGCGTACCTCTTTCTATTCTGCCCCAGACAAAGTTTTCATCGCCCGCGGACATCATGAAATGAAAGCGCCTGTACCACGAATCCCCATGATAGAGTGACTGGTTTTCGGAGCCGAATTACCATCGTCGTACGAAACACCCGCGATAACACGCCTGGACTTTACCATCGAAAAAGACGAACTACAATTGCTCAACATAATACCCACACTCAAGATTGGAAACGCCTGAACCGCGAATCCCCTTTCGAAAATCACGATTGGTCGTATCATCGTAAGCGAAGCTACCATCACTCTACGAACACCAAATAAGAAAATGGAAACGCCTTAACCGCGAATCCCCTTTCGAAAATCACGATTGGTCGTATCATCGTAAGCGAAGCTACCATCACTCTACGAACACCAAATAAGAAAATGGAAACGCCTTAACCGCGAATCCCCTGTAGAAACTTTCGGCATCATTCGTCACAAGCAAAATCATTTAATACTACTCACGAATCTCAATCAGAAAGAAGCGCCCCGCGGCAACACCGCGTTGTTGTTGGCCCTCGTTTGAAGGCACAGCAGATTTCGCGGTCTCGCCCTTGCTCCTCTGCGGCAATTTCACGTTCACTGCAATCCTCCAGTTCTCCCGGAGCGAGTACTTTTCCCGCGATCAACAGGTTCGTGTGTTGTGCCGCCCGCTACTCCACCGCCGACGCCGCCGCCCCTCTGCTGCCTTGTCATTGGGTCGTTCCCATCAGGTCGCTCATGTGCGTGGCCCCGAAGGATTATCCTCCAGGCTCCACCTCCTGACACCTCGTTCCGTGTGCCCGGGGCAGTCAACCTACCCCCAGTAGCGCCTCTGCTAGAGCTGCCAACCGTACAAAGAAAGTCGATGGTCTGGAACCCACCAAACCCACCATTTGCAGGGACATCAAACGCCCGCACCGGTTCAACTTCCGTGCCCGATCTACTGCTGCTCTCTCTTCCAGCGGCGTCATCTGGTCTAACGCCAGCCGCAGCGTGCAGCTCCGATAGGCAGGTGCCTGGCGGCGAAACTCTGACAATCCCACCGCAAGATGCGGTGCGTCTTCCAGCATCGCCTGGTCCCCCTCGGCTTCCGCAAGCTGGCATTGCCTGCAGCAGCGATGACATCTTGTCCATCACCCCCTGCATCCAAACTCCCTGCGCATTGCTTCCCAGCGGGGGGCCAGCGGATGGGTGGCTCGGGGCATCTACTCCCCAGACTCCACCGGGTGGCACTCCAAACCGTGTGCCCGTCAAAGACTATGGCATATAATAACCATAGGCCGATCACTAGGGGGGGGGGATGGCAGGGGACGCCGTTGATGCGCGGCCGCTTTTTTTTTTTTTCCGGGCTGCACCCAAATTCCGCCGCCTGTCGCCTGGCACTGAGTACCCCCAGTTCAGATCGGATTGAGCGGAGACCTCCGTACCTGCCGAGGGTGCCGCTGGGCTTGAGCGATGAAGCTACTCCTTGCCCTGCTTTGGGTAGCAGCTTGGGCTGTGAAAGGTGGGTTAGCAAAAGATTTCGACTGTGCAGACAGCGTGACCCTGCGTTTTGAACGCCTCCAGCAACCGACCCGCGTCTACTGGAGCGCGCCTAGCTTCGCTTTGGGGGTGTACCGTACGCAACGGCTCATAGCCGACCATGCTATGTGCATGTGAGAGTCGAAAGTTTTTTACGGTTTGGCAAACGATGGAGTATTGACCGAATGGCGGCAACTTGAATCAACACAATCCGTGAATCCGTGTACCCTGGTGAGACCGCTGGACAAAGGCCGCACATTTTTTAAACCCGCGGAGCCGACATCTCACACCCCCTTTACCTGACGACGTGGCACGGCTGTTGTGGCACGGCTGTTGTACTCTATTTCGTGAGCAGATCCCCTAGAAACCTTGTGCACTTAACCTGTCGAAGTATCAATGAAGTTGCTGAAGGATGGTTTTGTATTTCCCCATCATGACCCCAGCAACCGGGGGCAACGTATAGTCCACAAAAGCACAATTTTGCAAAGATGGGTTGGATACCGTCGTTGTCGCACACAGCCTTGGAGGCTGTTAAAAAATCATGTCCGCGCTCTTTTGCGGAGGCGCTGGTGGCAACGTAGTTTCACTTTACTGCTGTGTTGTCTGCGTCCATGTGTCACTTTGCATTTGCGCCTACGCCCTGACTTTTTTTCGGTTTCTCGGTTCCCGTGTGCCCGCCAGGTATGGATATGGACACCGCCACTGTCTCGACACCGGCGCGCCAAAGCTTGGGGACTCGTCCTGCGGTGACACCGACACAATCGGCCAAGAAGGATGAAGACGAGAGGCGTAAGCGCCGAACCTCCGGACCGCGCGCGGTCGGCACAGACGCTCAGCAGGCCACACACGACTCCACGAAGGTGCGCCAATCGACTCATTTGTTTTGGGCAGTACTGAGGCCGTACGAGGTTGACGGCACTCTGTTTGGTTTGATATGCGCCGTTTGAAGTCGATGGTCGTCCTCTTTTATTTTCGCGACAGCGGCCCCAAGATAACGCGCATTTACGAAGATGATCGTTGGCTACTGTCTAAATATGCATGTTTATGCATGTTTATTCTTTGCAGGGGAATGGGCCGAACTACCCTCGCGGGTTTAAACCAGGTAGGGAGGGAAGCGACGGGGCGAAGCTGCCTGTGTACATGTTCCTCCAGCAAGGCGCCCTGGAGGAGGGCGTGCAAGAACACACCACCGCTGAAGTGCACGCTCATGTTGCCCGGTGGTGGTCTAGCTACGCGGACAGCAACGAGGACCGCGCTTTTACTGGGAACCGCACCTCGACCGGCAAAATCTTGGCTTCGGTGGTCAAGGTAGGTGTTGGTCAGGAGTGGTCATCGTATACGCGCTATTAAATGGACGTGTTTATCCAAGTACCCGTCTCTTGCAACCTTCCTGACCCTCCTATGTGCCGGCGTTATTTACATAGTGACTCTCGTGGTTTGTTGGCCGATTTATACATCCCGCGCCAGGACGAGGACCTCGCCTTCTACTACGGACTCAAGAAAAGCTTCTCTGGTAGGTCCACGACGTGGGTGCTGACGAGGTCGTCATTGGCACGAGAGCGAGCCGATGCGCAGTGGAGTTTTTGTCTGCCGGCAGGATGGGCGGAGGAGTACAGTGCTGACGGCTCATGGAAGTTCAAGACTAGCAAGGGTGGAACGCCCGTCTCGGTGAGCCTATCCTGGTGACGTGCGCGGTTTAATTTTGTCTATGTTGTAGAGATTGCAGATGAGTGGGTTAGCTGGCGTGAGAGTGCGTAGGTTACATCGCGTCCTAGTACCACCAAGTTTATTTAGTTACCACCAAGTTTATTTAGTGGTGCTCCTTCTCAAAGGCCCCGTTTTTTTTTGTCGCTTTACAGGTCTCCGTTACGAGGCCTGGACCTGGTGGAGGATGCCGTGTGGAAAACATAACATTCCACCAGGTCAACGTGTCCGATATCTTCCAAGACTTGCGCAAGACCATCACCACAACAGAAGAACTCGGAGAGGTAAGAGTTTCACGAAAGCCAATCCTCTGTGTTTGGGTTAGGTGAGGGCATGGTTGGTGTTGGGTAATGTTTTATTTTGGTTGGGGTTGCTTTCAAGGATTGTCAAGGTGCTTCCCCATACCGGCGTTTGCGTTGTACTACGCGATTGAGTCGGTCCCGGTAGACACTACCGTCACCGTGATGATGTGCCCCGTAGACTGCGTTGGTATGATTCAGTTTGACGGCAGATTGCCAAACGGTAGGGCGGGCTTGGCCCACTGGTTGCCTCGGGCAAGCAAAATGACGGCGAGTGTTTCTCTCAATTATTAACTTTTACGTGTGTGACATCGACCGCAGACATACTTGGCGTACACTGACCTCTACAGTGACCCACGTGCGTTTTGCCATGTTTCCACGCAACACCCGACCTTGTTAATATCGTCAGATGTTGTCGAGGGTAGTGGACTCCAAGCGGCCGTGTGAAGGGGTACGGGCGGCTCACTACGCTGACGACTACTGTGGAGACGCGTTTGGCAGCACCGTGCGAGAGGCCCTGAGGCACGGGAAGCCCCGTGGGGTGGGGGGGGTAGGGCACTTCCCTGGTTTCCATCGTGCTGGAAAGGCCGCAAGCGCAACGCTTCACGTCCTCGGGGACGACCACGTGTTTCGTAGTGCAGGCTGCATTGGCGTCGCTACCGCTGCCGCCAAAGTTCCCCGCTGTTCTATGTGTGCTTCTTGGCACGCGGAGACCTTCTTCCCGAAGCTCAAAGGCGCCGCCAACAGGGCGGGGTTGAGCAGTGAAGATCTATACCCTGACTCAAGCGCCCGCACGAAAAGAAAAAAATCAGCCGACGCGAAAATGAGACCCTTCCCTTCCCACGGATTGTTCCTCTCCTCAACCACGAATTCCAAGCCACTGAAATGAGGATAAGCTTCCCGAAACTCCTCAGCGGATGCAACTTTGTGGCTGTTGACGAAGGGCAAGAACGCCGAACCAAGAGAACGCTGTCTACTCACGCGTGAAAGAGCGCTACTCAAAAGCCACCCCGCAATGTTGTACACCAGACGCCGTTGATGAACGTCCAGATCAACGTCTTCGGCAGGATACGCCACTTTGACGAGATGGGCCGCGTCCGTCTGTTGCGTGAGGGTCTTGTCGGCGACCTGTCCGGTAAATCAGTTGGGTTGTCTCGGGTTGGTATGATATTACCGTCATCGCGAAAAGTTCAAAACACCCAATAACACGAAACAAACAGGTACAGCATCAAGCTCACGCGCCCATACCACTCTGACTGCAGGATGCCAACCATTGATGACAGTCTCACCTCATCGATGGCCCCGAACACGCAAGTGAGTTTATGAGCGACACGCCGACTATCCACTCCCAGCTCGAGAGCCTTGCGGACGATGCTCGGCTCGCTGCTGAACTCCTCTTGCTTCGGAAAGCGCTCTTCCTCCCGCTTTTTTTCGTACGCTAGTGCCCGTTTCGACGAAGGCGGCTTTTTGGAATTTTCCACCAGCGCCCCCACGAGAACCCCCCACCAGCCGAGAATAGCGTCCTTCACTTCCTGCACATCAAGTAAACCTACGACGATATGCTTGTACTCTGGCACTTGCCCCATCCAATGTACCCGGAGGCGCTCCCCAACCAAGTCAACCACCCTCTGGCCTGTCGGGAGCTGTTTGACGACGATCTCGGCCATGGCTGCATAGGTCTGTCGTGCGAGGAGCATACGACGTGCAGGAGGCGGCAGCTTAGAACAACGCTTGCGTATGATTGCTTTCAAGGCGCCCCTCTCCCTTCATACCAATCAGTGATACCTTGACAGGAAATCTGAAGACGCTGGTGGCCTCCCCTTCTCACCTGTTGATCGGCTTCAGAAGTACCCGTCTCTTCATCTTTTGTCTCTTCCTCCTCCTCCTCCTCCTCCTCCTCTTTGTCTTCCCTGGTGAAGGCGTCCAGGCAATCGTCCAGGCGCTCTAAGTCANGTGGTGGCCTCCCCTTTTCACCTGTTGATCGGCTTCAGAAGTACCCGTCTCTTCATCTTTTGTCTC